GGTCCATCTACCAAGTCAGCTTGCCCCTGCAGATCCCACCTCCACCTCCCACGTTCTGGCAGTACAGGTGGGCCACCACACCCATCCAGCATTTACCTAGGTACTGAGAACGCAAACTCCAGTCCTAACATTTGCACTGAAATACTTTACTTGTGGAACCATTCCCCGAGTCCTGTTTTGTTTTCAACATAGACCTGGGGAGATAGCTTTCACGAGGCTCTCAGTTTGACCCAAGGCACTAGAAGGTGGGAAGGGGAATCTAGATGTGAGTGGTAAGTGACAATTATCCAAGACTATAGCGAAGTCTTGTCTTGACAGAACCAGTGACACACATGCACAATACACACATCCATAGAGTCAGGAGAAAGCCCTGCCTAGGCCCTCCTGTCTTGTGTACAGCAACACCGGTCCATTCTAGTCTGGCTAGAATGGCCAATCAAAGAAGTGTCTTGGGCCTCTCATGCATGATTGATGTCACATCAGTCCTTAGACTGCGAGCCTCCCTCCCCAGGGCACGAACGCCCACTTCTCCCATTTGCCTTGCTCACAGAAAGCGAGGCTTCTTACGGGAGCTCAAGACTCAGATGAGTTCCTCAGAGGGAAACGGAGGTCTGCAGGGATCTCATAACAATGTTGGGGACACTTGCAAACTCCAAGCATAGAGCAAAACTCTGAGTGCGAAGATGCTTGGTCCACAGTGGGCACACACGGGCACGCGCGCACACACACACACACACACACACACACACACACACACAGGCTGTGTAAGAGTGAGAGGACAACACTCATTGACCTTCTAGGAGCTTAAGAAATGGAAGAATGACCACAGCCCTGGGCTTCTCCGAGAAACAGCAGCAGCAGCAGCAGCAGCAGCAGCAGGGTTAGAACTCCAGCCCCATGTGTGAAACACCTGAATTTGCAGTGTAAACCTGCTTCAATATCTGAGCAATGGGAACAATAAGAAGTTCCTTCCTGGAAGCGGGGAGGTGATGTCTTGAAGATTAATGCGATAATGTGGCTAGACTAACCATAGCAATTATTCAATAAATGTTGACTGGTACTGTGACTATGTAGTGATAACGGAACCTTGTGACCTTAAAAGAATATTTTTCTGGAGCCACTGTACATGTTACATAAATGTTAATTGTTATTGTTATTACAATTTTTAGTCCAGCACATGTAGCAATTTATCACTGCAACTGCAAGAAACTGCCAGGCTGGTCCTTGATGGCACAGACTTGCTGCCCCCTTGACTTTGCCTCTGAGGCTCAGGGAGGAGGTTACTGGACACCAGGGCATGGTCAAACCTGGTATTCCTAGTGATGGCTTTCTCTAAAACCTCCTTACCCAGCTCCCAATGCACAAAGGACTTCTCACAGCAAATGCAATGCCCCTCTGAGGAGAAATCGCCAGCATTCTCCCTGCTGAGTCTTCAGTACCTCTCAGGGTTTTCAGGATGGTGTCTGACTTGAGATGAGAGGAAGGTCCGTTACAGGGGGATTTAGCACTAGGATGGTTTTGCTATCGGACATTTTTACAATGCCATTCTTAACAGGGCCTTTCTGACGGAGCTATTCTATTTGCTTCATGGTTTGGAGGCATGCATAGTAGCACTTTTATCCTGAAACATGATGGCTCTAAACCTGGACAGTGCCTGTATGTCTTTAATGGATGCTGTGAACGGTTTATACTCCTCCCAGGCACTACTCAGCCTGGGACTGCTCAACCCTGGCAGCAATTCATGACTAGATTTGAGGGGTGGTTGTTGATGGCCTGAAGGAGTGCTGGGCAAGAATGTCAGCTGCTGCTTCCCAGAATTCACCAGCTGCTGCTGCCACTGTGAAGAAGCGTTTCCCTCTGCTTTCTCAGGCCCAAGCTGTGTAGATTCACATCCCAGATCTCTGCTCACCACCTACAAACCCCAAGGCAATAGCTTTGCCTCCGCCTCTCCTCATCACTAAGGTGAGAATATTGTGAAGATGAAGACTCACCCCAGAAGGGGACTCCAGGGGATGCTATGTGGGAGGAGCCTGAGCCTGTGAGGCAGCACTGTGTCAAACAGTTTGGGGTTCGCCCTCTCCCTGTGGAGCAGACAGGCTTTCCTGACCTGCTTCACGCCACGCCCCATGCCGTCTTTTGACATTATCGTCTACAGCGAGAGAGCTAAGGTTTGAGGGCTTAAACCCACTCGCCCCAGACCCACAGCGCCGCATGTAGAGTTGGCATTTTACCATTGTAGGTGTGACTTCTGAGTCTGGCTCTCCCTATGATGCCCACCATACAGGGCCTGTGTAAATCATGCCTATCCCAGGGGCTCAGGGTCTGTGGACAGTGACGGCTCTGCTACAGGCCACTTCCCAGGAACACCACAGCAGGGCCTGCTCCAAGCTTTGTGGTTCCAGACCATTTGTCAGGCCAGATGTGAGGTATAGGGTGTTTACGTTGTCAGCCTGGCTTATCTGCTATGAGGTAAAGCCTTCCTGGCTCAGATCTGTGGGTTCATGACTTGGCACGGTCACAGCAACCACAGTAAAACCACTGACGCCACCGGGGGCAAAGAGCCTGAGAGGAAGTGGGGTGGGGGAGGGGAGCATGTTCGTTCACATATCAGACTGCAGGTGAGGAGAGCTGGCCACCCTTAGCTTCCCACCTGGCCCTATCTAGTAGAAGCAGCCCTCTTCATTTTGTTGGTCCTCCCTCTAATTCAAACGCTTAAAACCAAAATAAAATGGCCTCTTTCACACCTGGTTCACTCCCAAGTGCAAATGAAGACTCTTGGAATAGCTGCCCATCTGCGGCTCCCTATCTGTAGTGGTCAGTGGTGGCTGGAGCCACCTGGCAGCCATTTCCCCAGCCCCGTGTCTGGATCTCCTCCAGGGAGATGCCCTTTCCCTCGCTTTGAGCAGATGCCTACGTCCGAGGCTGAGAGACATAGCTGTGACTTGACCCAGACTGACGTGAGTGTCATATTACATTGCTGACAGGACTGCTTCTGGAACAAACCATGGATCCATTGAGATGGGAAGATCTTTCTTCTCTAGAACTTCCCAAAAATCATTTCTAATTGCTTACCATCAAGGGAGGAAATGGAGGAGGTTTTGTTTGTGTTTCTGTACCTCCTGGCAAGCTACATGCCCCCACTCTGAGAAACAAGAGCCCATGAGGCTCTACAAACCCCTCTGCATTATAGGGAAAGTCCTTCACAGTTTGACAAAAACCCTTGCGTCCAGTGTAGGAGTGAACCCCACAAAGCTATCCGCCCCTGAGGGCGGGGACATGTAAATTGACACAGGTAGATATAAAAGGAAGTGAAAAGAAAAGGCTTCCCTTTACATAATGGTGATCAGGAGTGGGATGATGAATTTCCACGTAGAATGACAAAAGCTTTAAAGGAATTTTAAAAACAAAAGAATGGATAGAAGCACAGATTTTTCCAGCCTGTCTTTGGCGTTCTTGGAATGAGTCTCTGAACTTTACACACGCTGAGCTCCTAGAATGTCTGCCTTTTCTGTACCTAGAAAGTTCAATTCACCCCTCCACCTACAGTTGTGGTTCTCAACCCTCCTGATGCTTCAGCCCTTTAATACAGGTCCCCATGTAGTTGTGACCCCCAACCATAAAATTATGTTTGTGGCGACTTCATATTGTAATTTTGCAACTGTTATGAATAGCAATGAAAATATCTGATATGCAGGAAATATGACGTGTGATTCCTGTGAAAGGATAATTTGATGTCCAAGAGGGTCTCAACCCTCAAGTTGAGAACCACTGATCTAGAGCCATATTGCATGCCTGCCCCTCAGGAAGTTCTTTAACTCTCTAAATGTTCAGCTGTTCTCTCCTTGACCTTGTATGTGCCTTGATCTTGACCTCTCTGACTCTGCCTTCCTCACTGGACAATAACACTCCCTAAACGTCTCCATATACCTGAAAGCTAAGACAGAATTAGAGCATAGGTTTATTGGATGTGTGGCTGCATAGATAGAAGGATGAATGGGTCATTAAGCTTAGAAAAACTAGATGGAGCATAGCAGCCTGTCCCAGCAGGCATTGTTTTTATATCTGGACAATAGCAAATAACATTTCAACTGATTATTGCTATGGGTGTAATTATACTTAATAACTGATAACAATAAATTTCACTGTTTATATCACATATACCTTCCTATTTAATAAGGAAAGACAAGTCAACTGTATACTTCCTGACATCAGCTGTGAAGAAATCAGTCTCAGATGTGCTGCAGCAGAGACAGACGAGATGCCCCCACACCTCATTTCCTTTCTTTCCTTTCTTTCATGGGTACACAGGTAAGTTAAACTTTCCTACCTTCCCTTGCAGTTAGGTTTGGCCCTGGGACAGAACCTCAGCCTTTGGAGCATAGCCAAGCCTGGTAAATTAAAATCGCCTCCTTTGGCTAGAAGTGAATGACTCTGAGATGCCTAGGAGGAGATGAAGATTCACAACAGAGGGCACTAGGGTCCCTAAGACCCATATGGAACCTTGATGCAGACCCATGTCCGTTAATGGACTGCACTTGCTTACAATGGAGAAAGTGCATGTTATACTCGTAAAATCCCAGCGGTATGCAAGGCCTGGATTCGGTTAGCCTGTGAGGTCTGATTGCTACATTTGAAGGATGTTGCAAACGTCTTTTTAAAGTATTGATTATCTAGAACTCAAAGCATTCCAATCATTTGATTGGATTTTTACTGTTAAGAGCTTCTCTTAGGGCCACATTCAAGGAACTATTGTTAATGTTAACAAGCATTTCTTTCCAACTTTCATTCAGCACCAGTACACTGATAGCCTGAAGTCAATGACAGCGGCAGCATTTACACCACAGAAATTGGCAAGCACGGGAAACCATGCTCCTCTCCACCGAAAAGGTTAAATATTTGCCAGTGCATCCATTTCAGATTCACCCGGTATGAAAGCTGCGCAATACACTGACTCTAGGAGAAGGGAACATAATGAACTAAACCCGCCCGGTTAAACGTACCTGGGCACGCAGGGAAGGTGGCCAGCGCTGTGCCCCAGCAGCAGCCAGAGCCCCGGCAGTCAGCTAGTCACGCTGGTCTCCACACGGCTGAATGTGACTTTACACACTTGAGGTCCCTGCTAATTCTCAGAACGTGAGATTACTGTGACAGGGGCACAGCAGGTTGTTATCGCCTGCTTTCCCGTGACTTCAGTGACTGTGAGTGAGAATGGAAATCACTGAGTCTCCACCTACAGCCCTGCCCTAAACTAAGGGAGGAAATTTCTCCACATCTTATCTCTCAAAACCAGCATATCTTTTTGGTCCCGGTCTCTGAACTGGACCTAATGCCGAGAGCAGAGAAGCCAAGGAGGCTAGGACTCGGTGGCCAAGGCACGTCCCGGGCTGCAGGTGTGAGGACAGCAGGCTTTGGGCCAGAGCCTGATCCACAGTGTTTGGAATTCACCAGGTTTACACATGGCAAAATGATCCAAATAATTATCCTTTGTGGAAGCCATAATATTTCACTTAGAGGAAGGCAGTGGGATCCTTGGGCAGCTCGGCCCTCCTCCACAGAATATAAACTGCTGAAGTAGACCCCAGAGTGCAGGGCCATTTGCGAGAGACATCACACAATTCACGGGATGTTTCGTTGCAGACACTGAATGAACTAATTCTGCTAATAGAGTATTTGATTTAATGGCACATTAAAGGGGAAAGGGGAGCGCAGAACGCATCCTTCAGCTCCGTGGCTGATGGGTTGCTGTAGATACCATAAACAAGGGAGCCAAATTCTCTCCTGCCTCTCTCGCCCCAGCAGAGGCCGGTCATTTTGCAAGTCAGGTTTGGCTCAGCGACCTGGAATAGAAACCCAAGTCTCCCAGGTTCTGCACAGAGGTTTGGAGGCTATGGAAGTCACTCAGCCCACACAGCCCTGACCTAGCTGCTACAAAACGAATCATCAAACCTTGCCACATCACGCCAGAATAGAAACAAATCAAAGGAATCAGGGCCACTTAGGGACGTCAAGTCTCTGCTGAGTCATTTGGTTTTAGCCTTCTGCCCTTTGACTCCGCCTGCCATTTCCAAGGCTCCTGATGCGTTGGGCCCTGCTCCCAGATGTTTGCATGTGTACCCGTGTTCATCCCTATTCTGTGGTGTCCCCTGACTGTGACATGTTGTTGCCATCCTATTCATCAGATGAAGAATCTGATGCGTAGAAAGGCGACATGAACTGGTGATAACTGATGAAGGTTGCCACTCAGGGCGCAGGGGAGATTTCACTTCAGAGCCCTCTGACCCCAGAGGCAGGGCTGTAGTGACCCTTCCAAAGCATCTTCTCCACTCTGTGCTGTGGAACTTACAGCACACCATCACTCAAAAAACAAGCAAACAGGCAAATAAGAAGCACAGATAGATGGATAGGTATCTCAGTTTTTCCATTCCAAATCTAGTCATTCCATTTCTAGAACCTGCTTGCCTAAGACAACCCAATGTGAATTTTAAGACTTTTTTTTCTCAAGAAAACATTGCTGTCTTTTCCTGCACAAGATCCAGGTCTCAGCACTAACTAGAAAAAGTAGGAAATCTTGCTTTCAGCTGGCTAGTTTATTCTGGGACTTTTCAGATCCCCCCACCCTCCCGCCACCCTGCCCTCTTCAGCTGCAGGGTTGAAACTGCAGTGTGATCTGGGCAAGGCCCTCAGAGGGCTTTCCTACAGACACGGGCTGACCTTCACAGTGTGGCCCACCACATCCATCATAGATTGCCAGGCCCAGCTCACCTTTCTCTGACCTGCAATGTATACACAGGCTGTTGCTGCTCCTGGCAGACTCTTCTGGACTTGGCACAGGTTACCCTCTCCATCCTGTGAAGCTATAACTCATAAACCCTGCTGCTTCGCAGTCAGCTCTTCCAGCCAGTCCCAGTGAGGTCTCTGTCTCCTGCTATGTCTAGGGTGGGAATCGCTTCTCTCTGAGTTTACTTCCGTCATGGCATTTGTCACACCCTAGACCATGAAGACAGGGATGAAGGTCTATGTACCATCTTATCCGCATTACCTGACACAGAGACTCACCTTGGGTGGATAATAGAATTGCCAAGAGCATCTGATTTAATGGGTCACTGGCAGAGTACAGATGAAGGCTTCTGACCAGTCAACACTTGCAGGCCTGTCCCACTGGGCTGGTTTCTCTCCCACACTCCAGTCCCCTCAGCAGCTTATAAATAATTATTCTGAGGCTTAGTATTAATTATAATTGTTTGGCCGATGGATCAGGGTTCTTACTGCCTAGCTCAATATATAAGTTAACCCATTTTTACTAATCTGTGTATCACCACGTGGCAGTGGCTTGCCGATAATGTTCTTGCTTGTTACTCCTTCAGGGGCTACATGGTATCTCCTTGACTACATCTTCTTTGTTTAGAAGGCCCACCTGGATCTATTCTGCCTGGCCATTGGCCAAAACAGCTTTATTCACCAGCCAATAAAAGCAGCATATATTCACAGCCTACGAGGGACATCCCTCATCAAAGTCAGTTGATTGACCCTATGGATGACCAAAGGATCAGTGAACACGCTGGGCACACCACTTCAGCCTCAACCAGTGGCTACCTCCGCAGGACATGTGCAACTCACTCTCTCCTGAAGAGCTCAGGAGTTGCTCATCAAGTGTCTGAGTCACCCAGGATAACAGGAAGCTGGGAATTCCAACAGCCTGCTTGTTGGCTTCCTGTCTGACACTAAGACCATAAAAAAACTGCTTTGTCCAATACCCACAACAGGGAATCATCACTCCTCCCACAGGAAGCATCTTGAAGATGATTCTGAGGTTTCCAATCCCAGCTGCAAATGATGTCGCCACAGGAGCCAAAGTAGAGGCTTCATCTCACCTTTTCTTTCAGCTAAGAATTCTAGAGCCCTTGGTGGCAGGAAGGGCTGATAGCATTAGCCAGGGACCAAAGTATCACTACCATATGGTAAAGAGCTCATTTGCTGTGGCGGATCACAACTGTCCCCCAAAGGTCTATTTGTGAGAAGGTTGGTTTCCAGCTTGGTGCTACTGGGTAATAATGGGAGCGTTAAGAGCCACGGCCTAGGGAAACATCTTTGGGCCATGGAGGGTGTACCTCCAAGGGAGCCCTAGCCAATTCTTTACTTCCCTTTGTTCCCATCCATTAGACTAATGTGTCCTCTAATGTGCTCTCACAGGAATGTGCTGTCTCACCATTGACTCAAAGCCACAACACCAGTCACTTGTGCACTGGAACCTCTGAAACTGTGATCTAAAATACTCCCTTCTCTGTGTATAAGTTGGTTCTCTCTGGTGTTTTGGTATAGTAATAGAAAGCTGGCTGATAGATAGCCCAACATAGGCTGTGTCTAAGAGAGAAGATTCCAGACCTCTGACCAAGTCTGAGAGGCCATTCAACCCAATCCCATTCTTCTGTTGTTAAGATTTCCAGAGTGAGAGAGTGGAAGAGGGAGAGAGGAAAGGGACCTTTTGTCCTTGTTCGGAGGCGCAAACAGCCAGAAGTCCTACAGAGTCTAGCTTGAGAAGCCCAATCTCACAGGCTATAAAATAGTTGGAGATCTCTTGCATTTGAAAAATCACAGCTGCATGCTTTGCCTTCCAGCACCAGGCAGGAGAAATGAGACAAAGAAGCTCTGAAAATAAATCTGATTCTCGCGGCTCCAGATAGCCGACAAGTGTTCGTCCATCTGCCGCAAGCACTCACACTGTGAATTCATTGATTTGGTAATACTCTCGCATAATTGATTGAGGACCAGGCTGGCTTCTTGCCTCCATGTTTGCTGTCTGATATCTTCCCAGAATCACTCTCTCCCCTTTGTGTGCGGTAAAGAAAGGAGAAACCAAAGATTTTTCCGTCGGTTTCTGATGAACTGACACACACACCATTGGCTCCCTGCAGTCAGCACAGTGTCCTTGAATGGTGGTGATTGTTAGCTGTGCTTTATTCCAATAAAACATTTCTCTCCGTCTTCACAACACTGTAGACGTCATCTCTACCCTGGCTGTCCCGTTGTATCAGCCAAAGGGCCATTGACATGCCTGAAGTCTCTCTCTGGGAAGACAGCCTAGCATCAGCTATGTACTGAGAGCACCGCTAACTGCAGGGTTGTCATATGAGATATTAGACGAGGGAATAATACTGATCCTTCCCCTCTCAGCAGCCACAACAACCCGTCCGCCCCTCTGCTACTGTGACATTCAGATGTCACCACCATTTCATTAAGTAGAATCAAAACAGCTGTGAGGATTGCTGTTCGGTTTTATAGCACAAAGTAATCATAACTTACTCGGCAAAGCAGCGGACACAGGCGGGTGCAGCTGAGGGGCCATGAAAGGAGCTAACTGATGGGCGTGGGACCGGTGGTGTTGGTGAAAGATAGGAGCCCCCAACTCACCAAAAGTGAGCCAGGAGCCCCTGATCGTACGGTGATTTACTACTGGCTATTACAAAGACCCACCATGGGACAAGCTCAGGAAAGATCCATAAACCTCTCCCTCCCCGGATGCTTACAGCCTAAAGACTGCTCCCCGCAAGAGGCTGCTCCTCCAGAGATGAGCTACACCTGCCTCCTTGTTCAGCTGTTCGCCGTAGACCCTGTCTCCATGCTTACCTGTGTGTAGTCATGATGCCTTTGTTCAGCTGTGTGCAACAACCCGCTTTCCTTGAATAAAATAAGCATGCTAAGCTTCCAGGGTGCTGTGACTTTTCCATCTGAGACCCCAGACTGTCTGATTCCAACTTTTCTGTGTCCATATATCCATAATTTCTTCATTCCCTCATTGCCCCTAGTCATGCAAGGATGTGACATATGACCTAATACTGAGATACAGTCCAGCCTAAGATGAAACAAAGCTACTGGCCTTTCCTAGAGTTGGTGTTTGGGGGACATAGCACCTCCCGAGAGTCCCCATCCCCGGCCTGCACTTTTGATCCGCAGCCCTGACTAGTGATTTCAACCTGCCCCATACACATGCAAACATGGTTTTGAAATCTTGAAGTCATGCCAGCTTCCTGGGAAGGACCAAGGCAGTGAAGCTTGGTGGGTAAGCCACTGTCTTCCAAGAGAGACAGGGCTGGGTCTGTGTCCTGCTTGAGCCACTTGTTAACTGTGTGCCGCTGGGAAAGCCCTCCACACCCCCAGCTTACTTGTCTGTACAGTGGCCTTCACAGAGCAGCAGATGTCACCTTCATCGCTCCCAACTCCAGACTTTGCTTTGGGGTTCAGGCAGCCAGCCCTCACTGTCTTCCCCTGCCAGACTTCCAGTCGGGAAGTGATCTGTAAATG